ACAAAATAAGTTAAAAATGCCATTCCAAGTATAAGAAATGTTCATTTAAGTTTTATAAAAGGAAACTTGGCAAGTGCTGTGAAACCTTTCTTTATGTTTCTGATCATTGTAGAAATTCTTTTTCTTTATGCCTTCTGAATTCTATTACACTCATAAGAAAAATCCTAAATATAGAAATATAAATGTTACCAGTTCTATAATTGTTAAGAATTTGCGGGTTTTTTACGCAATAGCATAAAATTAAAATGCTATGCAAAAAATAAGTTGTTCCGTTAATTGGCAAAGCAAAAATTTCGACTATTTCAATTTTCGCTTAGTAGAGAATATTCTAAGAATGCAATTTGTAGCTACTTTTGTATTGTGAGGAATTTTGCGGCGAGCACAGAAAATTAAACAACAAAGAGATATATTGCAATTATCTTCTTTCCGCACAATGTGTTACGTACGTGCAAATACCTATATAAATGCACACGAAAGGAACAGGATATTATATTAATTAATTTCCTATTGTTCCTGCAATTTTCTCTTGAGCAAAACGCATTGTAACTAGTCGATATATGCGATGCTAACACAAATGTAGTTTCGATAATTAAGCTCCAAAAATTTATACTTTTATTCATATATGCAAATATTAAATGCCTTATTTTCCTCTATTTTCATTTTCGAAAAAACTAACACATTTTCGATCAATTTAATATTATTTCGCACAAAGCAGTACAACATTGATATCTATATTGATTTTATTTTGTACAATCGTAATCATAATTTTTTTATGAATCTGATAATCGCAGGAAGAGTTAAAAAATGACAGCAAATATAAAATTTTCATAAAAGTATTGTGGTACTTTTCTGCTTTATTAACTGTAGAAAAATACTGAAGCGCAATTAATCTCTGCCATATACGTAATGCAAGGGCGAATTCAAAACTATATGATATTGGTCGGACGGTTCGATCGATCGATATCGTTTTTTCACGCCGCCAGATATATATACTAATCCAACAATAATGCGATGCTATGAACCAGTACAATCCGTCGCGTTTATCTCAATAAATATGGTCCCCTCGCTATGTAGGCTGTCGCGACCAGACTGCGACCCATAGATAGTTATTTCTCTCCTCTAGATATTGCGCCGTAAAATGGTGTACACTTACGTGTCGCAGTGAATTGGTTACTTGATAAATGTTTTTTACGGCCTGGAATGGTAGTTTTATACGAAGCTGCTGTATCAACTATTGTACCGTTATAAACCCTATCTCGCGCCATCAATCATCTTTTTCCCGTTAAAAGGAAAAATAATTAAAAAAAGAAAATATTCATATATAGATTCACTAAGACATATTTAATTTTTATTCGAGAAAATGCTCTGTGACAGTTCTCTCTTCGAGATAATTTAATTTGAATTTAATGGAATTTTAATTCAATTCTCATAGAATTATCAAAAAGACACATGCACACGCCGAACTCTCACCGTAATGCGTTATCATATATCCGCTTTCATTCAGTTGCCAACTGTTGCGACGAGAATCTCACGTGAAAGCACCTCTCTCTCTCTCTCTCTCTCTCGTGAGCATACTATGTCAGGTGAAAGGTGAGGTCGAGGGACAGAAATACGATCGAAGACGCGCGAACGGGAGATGTTACGGGAGTAAAAACAGAGGGAAGATTTCATCGCATGCATAATTTCTCGGCCCACGACTGCATGTCTTCCCGTTACAATGAGCCGCCTTGTTCGAGCGTATTATCCGCGTGTATGTGTACAATACGGGGGTGGAAAATAGTGGTCGGCTTTCCACGGTGTATGGAAAGCAAAGGGAGGAAAGCTTTGGCGCGATACAACCGAGGAAGAGAGAGAGAGAGAGAGGTTGTATAGACACACACCCGGGCTCTCTAATACAATTGCTCCTATGCGCGCCAAGTTTTCCCGGTATAAGGTATAGGCTATGCCAACTACTAATCCTGCGTCATGATGCTCATATCGGATCTCTCTCCGAGCGCGAGCTATCCTTGTAGCACGATACAGTTACGGTCTAACGGCGTGTACTCGCGCACCTTATTAATAGTTGCACTTGGAAACTGTAACGCCGTTGCACAGAGTCCCGTGCGCACGGCGAAAGATTAACAATATGTGCAGCCGGAGTTTCTGCCGCGTTCAGGCAGAAGAACCCTCGACCGCAGAGCTGTTTGTCATGAGGAGAGATGCTTCCGAAGCAAAACACCGCTGCCGTTCAGTTGTAAACTGACGTTCTGGTTCATTAACGCCCAATGTATTTTCGCGCCGTATATAGCGGTGAAGGGGTATTTGTTTTCAGGCTCCATTCGAGGTATTATTTATGTGTTCTTTGAATTATATTCACATAATTTTCCTTGCTATTCGAACAGATTTATAGTTTTATTATCCTCTCTCATATATGTATATATATCTTCTACATCTATATTTATTGTGGAAAAAAATTAATTACTGTAGCTCAATTTATTACCATACTTACTATACTTATTAAATACCATAGCTAAATTTTTTTATGATAAATATAGATGTAGAATACATATATGAGAGAGGATAGAGCGAGAAAAATTATATAAATATAATTTGAAGAATAGATGTAATACCTCGATATATGTTTCTGCGTGAAATATTAATTGTAAAATATTGCTCTGATTTAAATCATACGTGATAAAATGAGACAAACATAATATATGGTTAAATAGGACAACCAGTATATCGATAAGAATATGATTTTTATTCAACGCAGGAAAATATTAAATATTTAATATACATCGCAAAGAATAGGTATATAATTCATGCTGAGTCGAGTGAAAGAAAGGAAAGAAAAGTAGCTTTAATAAAATGTAGCTTATTACACGTGGTAGATGTTTCATAATAGCTCGTTTAACTGTCATATTTGACATAGTTTCGAGAAATATATCTTTTGCCCTAGAATAATACCAGCTATTCTTTAACAAATCGTACCATCGTTTTATTATGTCTTCACGACTACTTCCATTACATACACGCTTTATTGTGAAATTCGAAATTATGTCACAATTCGTTATTTGCTCCTTATTCTTTGTAGAAAAACATACAACAATGAAATAACTATATTGTTGATAAGCATAAATTTATTTATTCAATTTACTGTAAAGTTTTTGAAATTTGCAATGATATATATTTCATAAGATTGATGTATAAAATAAATGAATAACGATGTTAAAAGATTAATACATCTTCTAGCAAATTAACAAAGTAATAAGTAATTATTAAAGTGATCCATCTAATTTTCTTATTAATATTAACACGCGTATTTCCGTTATTTTTTTTAATTCTCTTCCCTACTGCCTGCTTTTTTTAAAGAAGAAATTGTATTATGCATATGTTTTTTAATTATGCTCTATTACATACTTTTTGCTAAAGAGAGAGAAAAAAGGCATTTTATCCAATAATAAAATTTCTTTTTGCTTCTCTCTCTCTCTCTCTCTCTTTCTCTCTTTAGCGAAAATTATATCGAAGGACCAATGCTAGTTTAAAAAAAAAATATTAAAAATAGCCTGAATTTTTATGCAGATTTTACGCTGACGTAAAAGTGTCTGGGTTTCGTTGATGAGATCACGGAATATGATTATGAAATAAGCGGAAGCTGGACGGCACATATTTACGTGCCGCTTTACATCCAGATAAATTACGGACACGCGACAGTTAGAACGAAACTCCTGGAATTAATTAGAGTTCATATAATATCGCCGCTGCTCTCCGACATGCCTCTATAGGACTTGATGTTGATCGCATTGACTTTTCTCGTGTTCTTCTTCATGTTGTATTCTCATTAAACTTACGAATAGCGATCTTATTTCAAACTTTTTGCGATATTTCAGTTTCTTCAATGGGAATGTCAACATTGCTGCGCAATTCCGATACAACTATACTTAATTAAAAAGCCTCGAAATTCTTAGTACTCTTTGCATATTTGTTGTACTGCATTAGCCATTCGATTTATTTATTAAATATTTTTAAGACAAAAATTAAATATATACAATATATTTTAAATTATATATTACAAAGTACCTAATATATTAATTTTTTTATTATCATTTGTATATTTTTTGTATTTCTTTAGTTAATATTTAATTAAATTAAAAAATGTTATATTAAAAAAGTATAATGTAACTTTTTGTATGATCCGACAACTTTTGCATGACGATGAAAGGATATCGCGTTTATTGAAAAAGTAAAGAGACTTATTAATATTTTTATATAAAAATTTTTACACATACAAGAGATAAACTGACAACTGAATATAAAATACTATATTTATATACGTATGTATAAAAAAATTCCAAACAAATCTTTCGAGTAAATTGCAGTTAGTTTAAGATAGTTTTAATATTCACTTACCTGTGTGCGCCGGGATCAAACGCGCATCTCTGATGCAAAATAAACTTGCACGTTGAAGTATGTATTATTAGAATATCTCCTTACAGCTTCTATTGTACAGCTTCTCCTCTGACACATCAGATCGGAACTGATTGACGCTTAGGGATAGACCCGAGTTAATTACGAAATCTATGTAAACCATGGACGCGTTCTAAGCTGTCCGGTCTAAGCTGCCATTATAATTAATTAATTAGTCGTATGAAATGACTTAACGGATTGCCGGAGGGGAATATGCTAGGAAATTCCATTTGACTAGAATGGCGACTGAATCATGCACTAGAGGTGCTTCGCGCATAATTGGGGCACAAAACGAATAAGTAATCGCGCAATAAAGATGATTAGTGTGTGTGCGAAATTAAAGATAACTTTTATGAAACAGATGAAAAACTTCGTACTTTTGTTATTATCATCGTTATCCCGCGTCCCGAAAATTTTGCATTCTAGGATGCGCAGTCTAGTTGTTTCGTAGCAATTAGAAAGCACTGAAATAAAAATTAATTAGTCGGTTAAAGTCGGTTTGTTAATGCAAGTTAGGGAAGTTTGTGCATGGAACAATAATTGAAACACTCGACTTACAGCCTTAAGGTACTTTTTATTAACCGAAAGCCTAAACACTATATAATAAAGAAAATGCTATATGTATATATATCTTCTATCTATATACAATAAACCGATTTTTTTTTCACGATATTCGATACACAATTAACATTTGGCAACTTGGAATCGATTATTTCTTTCTTTTTACTTTTTGTTTGGCAGGAATCACACTTAGTCTTCCACAATTCAAGAATTCGGATGTGCTCGTTCGAGTGTGGCGAATCTGCCTCCGGTAACGTGATATTTATCAAAATCGAAGAGGCTAGATCGCGATCGTTCGCAAGATCTTGTCTATTGCGATATTTTTAAGGACGACGATGTGAGCTTCTCACTGCGCAGATCGCGTTTTCCCTTAATTACGTTAGTGCTGATCATTAGAACTATCGAATACGAATAAGTGTAATATTGCTTGCGCAGCACTTTTTAAAAAGATGAATTTTATTGGATATTAATTATGCCGCGATATCATGCGTTATTTACAAAAAATGTCGCACGATAGACGATTAGACGAGTCTCGGAAGTTTTAAACGGCTTAAAAAATCAGTCTTCTCGTACGAGAGATTCGAAGTTTCGTGGGAGGAGAATTGATACGTCGTTGCTCGATTTTCGGTATAAATTACTCGCCGTTAACAGCCGGTTTTCTTCATGATACACGTCGTAAACGAGAAAAGATCCTTCTCGCGAAGAATATTTCTGTTAGTGAGAAAAAAAAGAATCTCTTGTCAAAAGTGCTCGTTTATCGCAGGCGTTTGATTCTCTCGCGGGAGGAATTTTCAGATCTTCACGTGTTTCCCCACGTCTTTTGGCACAAGCTTTAAACGCACCTAAGCTTCGCCAATATATGCATGATAATGAGATTAAGTCGCTCTTAGAAGATGTTCTCGCGGTAGAAAATGCGTTGCTGATGAAAGCAATAATGTATTTAGAAACGCGTTTCTTTTTTTGGCACTTTGCTTTGACGCATTTTTCTCTTTCGTACAATGATGAGCTGAGATAGTCGCAAGATAGTAAGCGTTTTTGATGAAATAGTAGAAAAATTTCTCTACATCGTTGGAAATATCGCTGTCGACTAAAAAATTGTAAAACCGCGCGATTCGGCGTAGCTCGATTTTATCATTCGCTACAAAAAGTCGAATAGTTGTGTGTGTCGAAGTCCTTATCTAGATTACGTTCGGCAAATAAAAGAGATTACGGTCGATCGGCCGTCGTCACGGCCGGAATAAAGTTATCACGAACACCGCACATCGTTTCACGATATAACCGATTTAATCGATGGTTTCCCATTTATTCGCTCGAAACAATTAATCGCGCTAATAAGTCCAAGGCCCGACGTTACATCGGAATCTCCGGTTTCTTGTCACATTTTCATCGACAATACATAAGTATAGTATCATCGATCATCACTACATCTCTTCAGGGCGCAATTATTAGCTATAGATACTGGTGCAAGTCGACATGGCTTTCATCTCGATCTCGTGTTGAGCGGCCTCTTTACGAGACTCCTTCGCCTTTTGCTACGAGCCGAGAGGCGGCGGTCCGATGTTGCTGATGAAACTGGGACACGCATTTTCCGCCCTGTCGCCGCTCTGCAACGAGAAGTGCCTGTAAGACATGTACTCCGGCGGATTCGAGGACAGTGGCTGATCGCGCTTAATCGTCGCCCGTTGCTTCTTCATCTTCATGTAACCCAGAACCGAAATCAGCACGACGAAGACGACGAAGCCCATGCAGCTGCCTACGATCAGGCCTAGTCGTCTCGTGAGGATACTCGCTATGCCACCCCGATCGCTTACGGTACCGTCGCCCACTATCGAATCAGGCGCGTCCAAGGTTCTGACCTCGGTGCACCGACTGGTAGCCGAGTTCACCATCACGGGCATCGAGGATCCCTCGATCACGTCGTCGTGCGAGGCGTTCCATTGCCAGGAACCGATATCCTGTGGGATGGGAGTTGCTGGACCCCAGCTGCCCAAGCCAAGTACGCAGATCAGGTAGCGCGTGTCGGACGCCAACTTTGTCAATCTCACCGAACGTGCCTTTGGATCCAGCAGCTTACCTCGTACCTGAAATGTCGGGGAAAACGGGCCTCTCGTCAGCAACGTCGCGCGCGGTTTCTTATACGTTGCCAGGCTTGAATAAATAAGGATCGGGGCAATAACGGCGAAATAATGCGGCAAGTTTTAGCTCCCAAAATTATTTTCAACGTGTGCGTGTGTGTACGTAAATCCAGTCCATTGTTTTTAATATTATATTTCGTGTGAGTAGAGAAAGTAAAAAATTAATTATTATATAAAAAAATATTTCATTGGATAAACTATAAATTTCGAAAATACTGCCGAGGGAGAAAATCTGGATAATATTATATTTTAAATAAAATAAGCGGAAATGTTTATAAAAATCTCCTTACCTCGTCGATATTGTCCAAGGAGTGATACGCCACTTGATATCCATGGAGGCCGGAATGATTTCTGCTCTGCCACGATACTAGAACGGAAAAAGGCTGGATGTCCTGAATCGCGAGCTTCAAGACCAGCGGAGCGGAACAGAAAGCGTGGGGGTCAAGATCGAGGAAGACCAGACCCCGCAGCTCGGGTGGCTGCTCGCATCTTAACAAACCACCCTCGACGTCACCGACTCCGACGCCATTTCTTCCGCGGCTACGACCACCACCGACCCCGCTCACCAATTTCTGATGGTCCCTCAACCATTCCCACAACTCTTGCGATTCGCAGCCGCAGTGTAAGGGGTTCTCTGTTAATGAGACAAATTCGCTATTATTCGCGATATTGTGCTCATCAAGATTGGATTGGAAAAGCGAAACTTGAGGAGTGATTCAGTACAACGCGTTAATTATTAATTAAACTCATTAATTACTTATAACAGAATCGATAATACGATATGCTTTGATATTGAAAATATATTTGAATATGTGAGAGATGGTAAATATATTATTTCGCAATACGTATACTTGATATTTTTTTAAATAAGTAAAAATATGTACGTTTGAGAGAATCGCGTAGTTTGTTAATAATTTATAATATTAAATATTCATAAGACTTTTTTATATCACAAATAATTTTTTTGTATATTTTCTATACGTAATTTTCTATTCCATTTAACTATAAAGCAAAATTGTACGCTTTAGCTAATTCACTGGAAATTTAATCCATTATTCAAGTTCTATATATAATAAATATAAATATAAGTTTCATTTATTCTCTCGCGTGTGCTGTAACTGATTAAAATTAATTACAAATGCATCAACTGCAATTAAAATCTATAATTCGAGTTCAATACTTAATAATTTATATAAAATATATCTGCGCGATTCATAAATAATTGAATAAACAAATTGAACGCGCAGCACGGTATTTTAGCGTCGCGTCGAGATTATATCTGAAGTTTTTCCAATTTTGTAAAGAATTTTGTAAAGAAAAGGACGTGTTTTTCTCTTCCTGCGATATACTTTTAAACAAGTTTCCGAGAAATATTAAGACGCGAAAGATTAGTTTGCGGATACCACTCGAAATGAAAATGAGATGGAGTTGTGCGAACTTGTTTGATTGTTCCAGTGTTGAATATTGATTCGAGATATGGCAATACGTGACCGGTGATACGATTGGTTTTCGAGTAGTAGTAACTTGATTCGGATCGATAGCCGCCATGTGTACGAGAAAACTCTATTCCTCTCTCACTCACCCAGCCTTTGTTCGCTTGTATTCGAATTCACAACAGCGTTCATCGCTGCTATCGAGAAAAAAGCACAGAATGTTCATGCAAGAGCGAAATTAATTACAAATACTAGACGTGTCAGAGCTCACCTTCGGTCCGCAGGCTTCTTATTTGCGTTTCGAGTGGCCGGAAAGCGTTCAGTGGCAAATTCTCCAAGTAATTCCTACTCAAGTCAAGTAGACGTAGCTTCTTCAGGGGTCTGAATGCTTCGCTGGAGATGGCGTTTATCCAGTTACCGTAAAGATGCAGCTCGACCAGGCTAATTAAATTCTTGAACGTCACTTTGCCGACGATGCCGATCTGATTGTAGGACAGGTCCAGTATTTGAAGTGATTTGAGATCTTCCGGGAACTCCTCGAGCTCTTTCAGACGGTTATGCGTTAAATTGAGTATGCGCAAGTGTTCCATACCCTGGAGCCTCTCCTTTGGCAAAATCTCTAGACTGTTCATGCCGAGATGAAGAGTGAGTAAATTTGGCAGACTTCGAAACGCTCCTGGTGATACTCGAAGAATGCCATTCTGACCTAAATAAAGATGCAGCAATGCCGGAAAAGCCTCGAAATCTTGCGAGGTCACTATACTGAGATTTGTACCGGATATGTGCACCTCCTGGAGAATAGGATACATCGCCTCTGACGGTAGATCGTGGATCCTATTTAGAGGATTCCGGGTGAGATTCAGCCATGCAAGACTAGGAAGATTCTGACCCGAGAGAGCCACCGCGGGTATTTGTCGAAATTTATTTTCCGACAGATCGACTCTTCGCAACAAAGACGAATGCGCGAAGAAATTCGCCGGTAGGGCGTTCAAATTATTATAACTGAGATCCACGGATATCAAACGCGATAAATTTGCCATCGCGAAGCCCGACATCGTCTCGATTTTATTATGACTCAGATCCAGCTCTCTCAAATGCTTTAAGCTGGCGAAACTGGCCACGTCGACGTTGACGATTTCATTGGTGGACAATGTAAGAATTTCGAGATTAAGAGCACTCGCCAGCGCCGAGTACGGGATGTCTTGAAGTCGATTGTAATCCAGACGTATCTCCCGCAGTGATAGCAATCTATCAAAGATTCCCGGGGGTAGAGTGCGCAGATGATTACGATTCAAATGTAAACGCGCAAGATTCCGATTCAACACGAAGATAGTCTCCGGCAGCTGACCTATCTGCGAATCGTCCAAGAGTAGCTCCTGCAAAGACGGCAATCCGTTGAAACAGTGTTCCGTGATCTGACTAAAATTGTTGCCGGATGCCGCCAGTGTTCGAAGACCGGGGACGTGCAAATGCAAAAGCGCCGACGCTGTAAGAAGATTGTCGTCCAAATTGAGATCGAATAAATTATTGAGTCCACGAAAGGCACCGTTCTCTATCGTGGTTATTGAGCAGTTCTTCAAGTTCAACGTTCTGATCGGCAGGTCCTCTTGAAAAATCGCGTCTTGCAAAACGGTGAGATAATTGTTGGCCAGATCCAGTACTTTTAGCTTCTTGAGAGCCGTCAACGCGTAAGGATCGAGTCGCCTCAGACCGTTATCTTGCAAATATAGCTCCTCGAGCTCATGCAACTCCGAAAATGTCCTCGCCGTTACGTGACTCAGCTTGTTCATGCTGAGCTCGAGAAATTTCAAAGCCTGCATCGGCTGAAAAGCGGCGTCCTCGATTCTGGATATGGAATTGTTCGTCAGATAAAGGCGCTCGACTAAAAGGAGATCCCTAAAGAGAGGCGCCTGTAGATGTGTCAACTTGTTGTGACCGAGCCACATGATTCTGACGGACGCTTGGCCACGCAGAGAATCGTTGTGCAGCACCGCCAGGCCGTTGCTGTCCAACTGAATGGACACCAAAGAGCTTCCGCCGGAAGACGACTCCGAGGCGGAGAGCTGAAAGACGTCGCCGAGCATGGTCAATTGATTGCCCTGTAGATTAACGTGCTGGAGGCTATTCAGCGTCCTCAGCGCGCCCGTTTCCATAGAGGTAATGGCGTTATTTTGCAGATGAAGCTCGAGGAGCGCCGGAAGCGGCGTGAAAACGCCACGCTTCACCTCCGTTATATGATTATCCTGCAGCCGCAGCTCGCGCAGCTGATGCAGCTTGATAAAGGTGCCCGGTTGTAACTCGCGGATCTTGTTACCATCTAGAGAGAGCGACGACAGGTTCTCGCAGTGTTCAAGGAATTCCCGCGGCACCTTCTCGATGTAGTTGTTACTCAAATGCAATTGGGCCAGCTGCGTGAGACTCGTGAGACCCTTGGCGTCGATCCTTCGGATGGCATTCTGCTGTAGATACACCACTGCGAGACTGACGCTGCCGGCGAACGCATCTCCCGGGATCTCAAGAATATTGTTTTCCGCCAGATAAAGTTCTCTCAGCTCGGGTAGTCTCGCAAACACGCCGCCGATGTAGTGAATGTGGTTATGGCTCAGCTCGATCGTGCGCAGTCGTTCGTTTCCCTTAAACGTCGCCACGTCGAGGAAAACGATTTTATTGTGGCTCAGGTCGATCGATTCTAGATCCTTCAACGACACGAAGGCGTCTTTGTGAATGGTCTCGATGGAATTATAGTAGAGAGATAGAGTGTGGAGATCGGGCAGGGCCTGAAGCAGTCTTCGGTCAGTTTTTCAAAATTGTTGCTGCTTAAATCGAGGATCAACAGGGAGCTAAGAAGACTGTAACCGTCGTCGGGTAGTTCCGATATCTCGTTCCACGCCAGCCTGAGCGAAGCCAAGCTCTCGAGTCTTCTCATGGGAGCCATAGGAAATAGCTTCAGCTTGTTTTCGGCTAGATCCAGATCGCTCAGACTGTCTTCGAGACCCGCGAACGCGTATTCGGAAATTTTCGATATCTGATTACCCTTCAAGGTCAACTTCATTAACTTCAAGCCGTAAAAGCAGTAGGACGAGAGATCCTGTATCAAATTCGTCTCGAGATCCAGAGCGGCAAGTTTTCGTAGCTCGGCCAGTGATTTTTGAGGCACGTGAGGTAAGCGACCGGAAACCAGTGCCAAAGATTCCAAGCTGTCCTTCAGATTTGTGAAGGCGCTCTCGCTTATTTCCCGTAACGATGAATGTGAAATTTGAAGATGCCTGATTTGCGATCCGGACGGAAAAGCGTCCTCCCTCAGTTCCTCGATGCTCTTATCAAGCTCGTAAACACTCAATGACTGTACCATCGTGTCCGTGCCTGGAAATGGTCGTAAAGGGCAAGGCCATTAATTTAAGACTATAGCGCAAACTCTGAGTTTGGCAGCAGTGGTTAATTGCACGTTTCATTAGTTTTATGAGACGTGTTGAAGGAAATGATTTTCGCTTAGCCGCGTTATTCACTCTTACATTGAAACTGCTGTAAGAAAATGTGCGCATACTTTTCAAGTAATGCGACGAATTTAATAGTGCGCGATTAATGCTTTTACGAATTTTGCTAAACGTATTTTTCATCGCGTATATTTTTCATTCAATTTATTTTATTAAAGATATTTCGGAGCAATTTTGCAATACATCATTAATATGCATATTGATACAAGTTTTATTTATCAAATGTATTTTCTTAACTCTTTTTTTCTCTTTATTTTTATAAAGGAAAACATTTTAAAATTCGTATGACTGCAAATATATTGTAATTAAGTTAGTTTAGTATAATTATTTATACATATATAATCAGATAGAAGGAGAAAATGTTATTCTCGATGTATCTGCTTATCGTTGTTTTAAATATTTAAATATTTGATGAGAATACAATCTCTTGAGCTTGAATATTGATTACTTACCACTTATACTTAGCACGCCTTGTAATGTTGTTCTTAAAGTTTCTTCTGTAGCGCCAGCGCATTCTAGAAAGAGACCGTCCTCAAAATTATAACAAGGACAACCCGGAATTGTTTCCGATGGCGGACATTCGGCTATTTGAGCTACGGCTTTAAATGTAACGAAATTCTGTATTAACAGGATCTGGAGGACCATCCTCGGGATCCACCGATTTACAGCGCGAGAATGATCTCTCCGTCGTTGCGGATCTCGCGTCATCGTATCGTCACATCCGTAATCCCGTTTCTCGCCTGACAGATCGCAAGGAGCTTCCTGAAATATAAAAGTTACGAAACAAATTGAAAAAAGCGAATTTGCGGTATTACATTCAATGGATATATCAAATCAATTTTTTTTCTAACACTTTCACTATCTAACGCAATCAATTCTATAAATTGCAAATCCAAACATTGTAATTAATTTGATTTTCATTGTGTATTATAGGAGGATTTTCATAAATACATATATTTAGTTTACATGATGAGAAAACTGCATAGGTAATTTTTTCTCGTTTATTGTACAATCCTTCAACTGATCAAAATTATTCCTTTTTATCAGTAATAATTATTTTATTTTATAGTTGTATAAAATAATAAATTAAAGCATTACAACTTTTGTTAAAAATTCTCCCATTTTACTGACAAATATTTACGGCTGCCTTTGCCATGAGAGATTCTTGTCTGAATAAATCCACGAGTAAAGTTAAACTTCGTCTGCCAGACACTATGCAGCGCATGTTGAAGCATGTTTACGAAAAAGTACGGCCCGAGCTCTCAGAATAGTGCGAATAGCTTCCTTGAATAACAAAGAGTCCACGTCTCGCTAAGACGAAGGTGCATACGAATACACGGGGACATAAAAATTATTTGACTAGTATAAGAAGAAATTGTGTTTCCCTTTGTAGTTGTTTGAGACACATCTATTTTTCATGAAGAAAATTTCTGAAAAGCTCTCGTTAGAACAATTTCTATATAATATATCTTTGTATTCGTGAGAATGTATACTTATTGTAAATATGCATTTTGAAGATAATTTGAACCTTACAGTACATAAAGGCAGAACAAATCTGTAACACGTACGCTGAATGTAACGTGACGAACTTGTGTAAGTACGAGGTTCTTAATTTGACACTATCTATCAAAAGAAGACTATTCAAGTAGTCATCAACGGCATTGACAAGTTCATATCTTGATGTTCGATTTTGATGTGCTGAAGATATATGAATTGTCAACTACGAACCAATAATATTTCTCGCTCAGTGAATATTAAGTTTCGATCTCGTAACATTTAAGAGAAAAAATATATCGAAACATTATATATACAACTGCTTTCTAATTGTAAAAAAATGATAACAAACGCGCGTCTTCTTAATCGTCTCTATAGCTTTAAATATGATATGTACATCGCGCGGAAAGAGCAAGCATCTACAAAGTTCTTCACGCGTAATCGAGCGGCAATGGCCGGCTGAGAAGAGAAATCTGTATCACAAAGACGTCTAGACTCCAAATCGATTTTTCGCGAGCACCAAACCGCGATATCGCGCCATTCACGCTCAACTGAATCGACGAATACCTCTCTTCCTTCTGACCTCCTGGAGAATCGCGGCATGAGAAACCTCAATAACGGCACACCACCTTCTCGCCTACATTTACATTCCGCGCTTTCGTAGAGAGAGCGACGATATCGTATACCGCCTTTACGATTGGACGATAAAACACACAGCGGCATTTTACTAGACGTGCGTGCCAAAGACTTTAAATTCGAATCCAGCAAGGTGCGCGTGTGCCTTTCCGGAAAGAGCACTCTCAAAGAAGATCGTTTTGATAAAGGATCTTTCGCGAAATACGATTAACAAACTCTCAAAAGACTGCTGGATGCGCGACTTGGACCGCGATCACGTTTTATATAAAAAAATTCAATTATATACAATCTTATTTTACACTGAAAATATTGAAAGAGCAACACCCAGAATCCCCTTTTTGAGTGCAAAAAAAAGCTATGAAAAAAATATCAGCTAATTTTTTATAAATTGCAAATATATGTATATATATTTTATCATCAATTATTTCTGAATCAATAAAATCATAAAAATTGATTATTTCAGAACAAAAAAATTACAATAAATAAATTGGTACTTAAATCTGTTCATTAATAAAATTAAAATTTTTAATATAGTTTAGTATATCGTTATTGTCGATCGTTGTATCATAATAAATATTAATGATTCAAGAAAATAATTGTAACATTTATAATAAAAATAATAATATAAAAAATATTATTATTATGTTGTTTGTATATACATATAATATATCGTAATCAAACAATGACTGCAATTTTTTATTTTCTCAAAGAAATACTATTTATAAATTAATTTATCTATCGATATCTCGAAAATTAGACGTGACAAACGTAATAGTTTATTTGCAAATTATGATTTACTTAATTCAAAATATTTTTTGCGCAAAAAGGGAATTTTTAAAGACCATTTTGAATGTCACATTCTTGCTTTTATAACTCGGTACTCATTTGACGGAGATATATTTACAGTTTCTTCGATATACATAGAATTACTTGGCAAAAAAAAAAAAAAAAAACATGCGTTAAAACGATATAAGCGAGTAAATAGCAATTTCGCCAACACATAAATGTACATTAACGCGTAAAGGTATCGTGACAGCAAGGTAAATGAATCTCCGACTCTCGGAGGGTAATCGTATCGGATCCCTTCTCTCACCCTGGATTCGCCATTGAAGGAGCGAAGGAGTCAACGTACTCCGATTATTTTGCAGCGAGCGATTAAGGGCGGATTCACTTGGAATTCAAGAAACGTTTTCAATTTAAACATTAATCTTCGTAGAGAGAGAGAGAAATGTCGGTTCAGCATTATATCGGAATCCCAGAGCTATCTTTCTCCTTAAGCATTTCGATCGAGTGACTTGAGCAAACTTGGCGGCCCCCAATATATACGTATATATGTATATCGGTTCTTCTACTTCTAGTAGTCGCTCTCTAGGTCGATCCCTGGGAAATATGTTGTTCGTAGGGACATACGCCGCATTCCCGGCACGATCGCCATAAATGCTCCGTGCTCCAGGAATCTGGTGTACGACGCGCCATTAGTAAACTAAGATATCGCGATTACGTGAAGCTCCTCGATTTGGATTATTGGCACCTGGTATTGATAGAATTAAGCCACACGGTGACAAATGGATTAGTGGACGATCAATTTTAGTAACAACGGACGGCGCATGACACGTAACGGCATTTATGGAGATGAATGTTCTCCACCGTATATGTTATTATCCATAACACCAAACATAATTTATGCAAAATTCCAAATGTTATACTTACGTCGATATTTACCAAATATTTCATCTCACTAAAATGCAATCCGAATAAAATGTTCTTTACCTCGTACTTTCGACAAACCATCGATTGGTACCTTTGAAGTTATTAAAGGGTATCGATGTATGAATACGCGCGAGGAAAAAAGAGCTTTTCCAATCGGAGGAGAGGTTCAAAGCACGCTCTTCTACATGAAATCGACGCGGTGGAGGATTATAACTCGTGAAAAGAAGATAGTTGAGAATTCAGTGGAAAATGCGCTTTACGAGACATACATCGTTTCGATCCAAGTGTACGGCTATATACGTATTCCTCGAGAGCGTACTCAGCGCTTCATGCAACACCGACGGTAATAAAGCGCGAAAACGTTTCTCCGCCGTGTTTTAACGCGATGAAAACAGTCGGCGCACTTCCGCGCGCGAGAGGAAAAACGAAACGTGTCTCTTTCAGCGCGTCCATTTCCTCGTCAGAAGCTCTCGCCTTTCCCGAAAGAAATTTCAGCAATGGAATTAAAAGCTTTGCGCGTGCTAAAAACGTCTCCCTTTTTCGTTTCTCTTCTCAATTTTTTCGCTTCTAAATTATTTATTTCCCCCTTACCTCTTCTGTCGTGTTTTGCATCGAGTATACTGCGACGTGAAACAAATATTTTTGATAAAAAATATAAACATATATAGATGTGCACATATATTCGTGTGTATGAGATACAGAAATATAAATGCTTCAAAGATAATTTTTGAAAATAACTTTATTAAAGATTCAATTATGAAAATTTTGCAAAATATTCGTGAAAAATATATACAATAATAATGTAGTTATTTTATTTGTAACAACATTTTTATATTATACAAATGTTTCATAAATATTTAATTTTTAATCTTAATTTTATATATTTTTATTAAAGAGACTATTGTCCATGAATATTTATGCAAAATTCCAATATTCGATATGTGTATGTGTTGTAATTTCCTCGATTGCACAAAAAAATTTTTTTGTCGTATTTATAACGTTTTAATAATTCATTTCATCGCGATGCCGCCATTTATCGAGCAAAGTCAACAGTTTCTGAATTTCATGATTTACATTAAATCGATTTAGAAACGACAACACGCGTTGTAATTTCGAAACTACTGTTTTGACAAGGTAATGCTGCCTTGCTTTCCCATTAGCCAGGCATTTATACGACACGACTTGTGAACTTCATGGTTCAATTAGCAGTCGCTCTTTTCAACACACTGCCGTGTCAACAACATGTATGCGCATGCATATTAATTACTTGACGAAGAGCTTTGATATCGTGTAGTTACACTATGATCAATTACTGTGCAGAGAGCTTGTTCTCTAATCAGTAATATACCGATGTAATATGACTGTTAAAATAAACGCAGAACGAGAAAATTATTGCATTGACTGCGGCGGCAATCAGAGTTCAAATCTATTTATTCCAAGTTTATTTAATTTATTCCAAATAATTCGCATTACATACAAACTATAGTTATACTTCGTTTAATAAATTTTACATATTTGACCGACGCACAGCATAAAATAATACGCGATATTAATTCATTCGTCTAAAATTCTCCGTTGTTTCTACGTCATTTAAGGCAGCGAGAGAGTGATTAATTTTCCGCACACTCTGGCAGCGGCGTCAGTCGAAACTGAACTCAGAACTGAACTGTTTTTGCGGTTTATAACAGCTATTGTATCGCGCTTCCCGTCGTAAACTGCGCATAATTTCAAGAATACGCCACCACCGGTTGCCGTATATAAAACCGCGGAAACGGTACGCGATATGCAGATAGGCGGTATCGTAAAACCGGGTACCTACACTTGTACCCCCGTGATACGTTTCTTCCTTACGAACCCTCTGACTGGCGCCTTGAAAGATTACCTACCCCTTCCTGCGGTGGTAGCTTCATCCATGTTGCGGAACGCCACGTCGTATTTTGTGCAT